CCCGATTCAATTCGGTGAAGATTCAGCCCAATTCGGTGACTGAATCTCCGAATCCAAATCAAATCCCCCTGCAGCCAATCACCAAACCATGGGAGCTGGAGGGGTGGGGGGGGGACCCAGCGCTCACCCTAGCAGACCCGCAGATGGACTGGAAGTACTTCTGGTCCACTTCGGGTTCACCACTGAGGACGTGGAGGCCCCCCACCATCCCCCTGTGGGATGCTCCATGAGCCCCAACATCACAGTGATCATGAGTCATACCTGCTACCTCAAGATATGTAGAAAAAACTTTTAAAAGCCATGTCTATGTCCGAATCACTGATTCTTTGAATCAGCATTGAATCTTCAGATTTGGCAGAATCAAATTAGGGACAGTGATCCAAATCAACAAATCAAATCACTGTCCCTGATTCGGGCTGAATCTAAATTGAATAGGGCCCCCTTAGCACACCCCTAATAAATATATATTTATTCAATAGTTTTCCCACTATGCATTTTAATATATACTAAGCTAAAAACATTTACAGAATTTTCTTGATTATTATAATCTTCTCTATATACTTTCAGGAAACTGGTTTACTACATGTTTTCCTTAGGTTCTGAGTATCAGGCAGCTAACTTTGCTGCCCAAAGATGTAGGGGAAATAATGCTGACCATACACAGTTGACCCACAGGAATACGATTAATCATTCAGCTCTGGAAACTTAGGGAAAAGAGTAGTTTGAGAGGCTATCCTCCAGCCTAACTAAGTGTAGCCTACATACACTAAGTCATCCTTCTTCCTTTTTAGTCAACTTTGTTACTCATACTGAAATCCATTCAGTGACAGAATTTAAGACTTTTCTTTTCCAAGATCATTAAGGGTAGTAGTATCATTATCAAAACAAAGACCCATCTTCTGAGATTAATGGAAATGTCAAATGCTCTCTCCGCATATGAAAACTATATCTTGAATGCGGATGCAGAAAGGAGGACACAAGTAATTGAAATGAAGTGCTATAGACAACTGAAAGATACTGTATTCAGTTTACAGGACAAATCAAATCAGAGACAAGATTACTGATGCTGTTGGAAAATATATGACCCTCATTGGCAGTTCTGAGAAACTAAACATAACAAGACATCCTTATTTTGTCACCCTTCCAAGGAAGAAGTAAACAGAAGGAGAAAAAGGTTGACCAAGGAAAACACTGATAGACAACATTACTAAATGGACAAGGCAGGCCAAAATAGACCTTCTTTATTTGGACAAAGATCATCAGTAATTAAGTGAGGTCATAGACAGCCTATTATGATGGTGCCCTATGACTTTGAAGGTGATGGGAACCTGAAAGAATGACTTGTCAATAGGGTTAATCACCAACCTTTTTTTTCTTGCAAAGACAGAATACCTCTTCAACTTCCAAAGCATGCAGGTAATATTTGGCAATTAGAAGTTGCAACTGGGGAAAAGTCTTTAATTAACAATCAGTAGTGATGTCTAGAGGACTGCTGGCAGTCATAAAAAACCCTCAATATTAATAGATTTCATTCCACTCAGCATCTGTTAAAAGAGTAATTGAGGCATAGTAAGCATGCGAGGGAAAAGGAAGCAAGAAGAGAGACCATAGCTTGACTTACTGAAAAATATAAAAGTATGGACTGATTATAATGAGTCTCTTCCCTCTGGAAGCTTCTCCACTTCTGAGCTATGATAAAGAATCTATCATCATCCATTTCAATAGCTATAAAGAGAGATTGCTTTGGCTCCCATGACTAGGTTCACTTCCAGAAGCTCCAGCCATGACTTCAGTCATCTACTGTAACCTGTGTTAGGACTTGGAGAGTACAAGCCATGATCCAGCAAAGCACTCTAACTTATATCAATTTAAAACACATGCTTCTGTCTCACTGAGTTAATCTCAAGCCTAAGTCTCAGTGAAGTATTTTGCTGCTTCTGGGCTTCATTTAGTGTTGCATATTTTCAGTAATAGTTATCCATTGCAATACTGTCTTGGACAGTGGTTTTCAAACTTTTTTTTTCTTGGACCACTTGAAAATTGCTGAGCGTCTCACCGGACCATTAATAAACTATTTTTTGTTCTACAAATCAAAGCACACAACTCATATTTTAATATCAGTAGTCTTAACTTACAACTACAGATTTTGTCGATCGTTCTGCAACCTTTCTGTGGACCACCTGAGTGGAACTCGCAGACCAGTGGTGGTCCACAGACCACAGTTTGAGAATCTCTGGTCTAGGAGGATTGAAAGAGTTCAAGGAGGCCAAATCTTCAGGCTCCTGTGATGCAATAATTCAGTGGGAGTAAGGTAACTGGCTGATGTGGTCCAGATGTAAAAGTTCAACATTGCAAGTTTATTTTATGCAATTTAAAAAGGATTGATACTTGTATTAGAAAGCAAGGTACTGCATGTGTAGAGGGGGGCGGAAAGCAAAATTAAAATACATACTAATACTACACTCAAAATGTAGTTAAAATATGCAGTTACACAGCAAGCTCTCACACTTATTCCATCCTCAAAGATTTTCTTGCTGAACCTAGAATCCTGACTTCCATGCAACAGATTTTTTTTCCAGACAAACATAATATAGACAGTGACTGGACAAGTTTGATATGACTGCTGGACAAACGTGTGTTGGAAGACATCTATCTTTAGGAGGTAATAGATTTTACTAACAAGGAAAATAAACTCAGTGCTCTAAATAGACTAAAGTTTTGTCTCCTTTAAAGTGGTGCAAATCCCAAGCTAATTTCCTAGAAACCTCTGAGTTTAGGCTTTAACAATGACACCAGCAACTTACCGTTTCTTTGGAGATAAGCAACACTTAACTGATGACTACCTTATCTTCTTGAGGCCTGTTTTTCTTCTCAATAGAATTGTTAAAGTGGAAAATACAAAATAAGTTTAAGAATGCTAACATTTGGAGGAAATTATCAGAGTAAAATCCTAAAGACTGATCTACATTTCCTCATTTGAGTTAACTGCACTCCATCATATGCACAAAAAGGGAAATAAGCTCACACTGTTAACAGTTGCTTTCCTCAGAGTTCAAGGCATGGAAATGTCCCTGGGATGGTTTTGGACAGAAGTCTTTGTAATAATAGATGTTTTCATGCTGTCATTTTTTCATATCATTAAAAGCTCTCATGGTTGCCAGAAGTGTTGAGAAAATGGTGTCCAGCATATCTGTGAGTATATGGGATGCAACTGTGGAGAGGACTAACTGTAAACCCTATAATTTAAATGTGCTCAATGCTTTACATGCAAATGGAGAAATGTAAATAGTGTTAAGGTAATGCCAAAAGCACATTAGTAATTGCTATGTGTGGTACTAACCAGCCTTGTATTGTGGTGGAAATGAATGCCATTATAATGTTAATCCCTGGCTCTAACAATTCACAATAAAAAGCAGCTGCTTCATTCTGAGATGTTTCATTCTGCCTTTGAATTATTCTCAGGACTACAGCAAGTCAGTTTCACTTTTTAATCAATGAGCAATTAGTTGGGGCAAGTATATATTTTCTCCTGAACTTCTACCCCAAACCAGCAAACAACCAAGTGTTTTATTCACATTCACCAAAACATAAACATCTAAAGTATTAAAACAAACTTCAAAATACATTCCCATCAGACAGACATGGTTTTCCATCAGAACCTACATTTTGTGAAATACTGAAAGCTTAGCAGCTTTGAAACGGTTCTGCATTTAGGTGACATAGTATAGAACCTAGGGCTGCTGATTTAGTAGGTGGTTCTCTCTCTCCCAATTAATATCCTACAATAAGAGGCAACCTACCGGTGGTGGCAATGGGCTATCTTTATAGCAGGTGTAAAACCAAATTCACTCGGACCACTTTGTATCCATGAAAGAGCCCACAATACTTATTGCAAGGAGAGGGTGATAAATAATTAAGATGTTCTGGTGAAATTCCAACTCAGTTGGATTTGTATAGCACGGTTTGGATAGGGATGACCCTGCCTCAGTCAGGGGGTGCAACTAGATGACCTTTAGAGGTTCCTTCCAGCCCTACTTCTCAATGATTTCTATGAAGTAATACTACTAATTATTAGTACTGTAGTGTAATTAGAGGCCCTTAAGGCACATAAGGGGCCATTGTGCTAAGCACTATGCTCAAGTAATGAAATGAGAATCCTAGCTTGCAATCTGAGGATAGCACATATCAGGGGATATAACAAAGGACAGAAAGAACAAGCCAAGAGAAAAAATTATTATTCATTTAATAAGTAACCACCATACATCATCTGACCATCAATTAAATGTTTTTTCCTGCTGTATGTGGAGAACATATAGCCACATATCTTATGTCATTAGAATGAAACACTACCCACTACTTACCTCAATGCCTTCAAGAAATAAATGCCCAGAGAAAGAAGAACTTACTCAAATACAGTTCACATGAGAAGAAAGTGATGCTGGTGGCAAAGGGAATCACTTCCCTGCTAAACAACTCACTGACATAGACTGAATCTACCCGAGATGCTGATGGGCCTCTTAAAAACCTGTTTGTTCAAACTGTTCTTAAATCAGCTTGGCTGTAAACCAGCCCTACTAACACTATACTTTAAAAAGGTGTTGTTGTAAGTCTAAATCAGGAAATAAAAGTTTATTGCAAACACATTTAGCTGCTCAGTACATCTACTGTCCTGGGTTATGTTGATCAAATTGAAAAAAACAACTCTGGCATCACAGATGGACTTGAAGACCTTGACACAAAATTAAAACCCTGATTTTTACCTCAGCATCAACTTGGCTGCCAGCATTATGGGCACAATGTTCTCACCACAAGTTCAGAAGTCAAATAGTTGATATTCTATGTGAGTGTGAGTGGGGATCACAGTCTGACTGGGGAGTCAGTTTTGAAGAGGTAAAGTATTACTAAAGCCTGGTTCCAAATGTAAAAACTAATACTGCCTCACATGCATCAAATCAATACAAAATTTCATGTGTAAATTTAATCCACATAAAAATACTTACTTCAAAATTACACATCCAGTACCAGCAGGAGGTGCTGTCCAGAAAACTTGAATGCGTGTCCTCCTTCTTGGAGTACTCTCAGTAACAGCAACAGGACAATTACTCATGAACTGCGTTTCTTCTTCATCTATAATCTAAAAAATATATAAGATTTCTTATATAGACAATACCTAGAGAACATTTTATTTTACCGTCTCATATAAATAAAAATTTTATTTAAGTGCATCTTTTTAGATTACCAGTCTTTTTTACAAGTTGGGGTGTCACAGTCTTTTAACCTACTAAGAAAATAAAGAACTAAAAGAAAAGTTGAAGTTCTAGGTTAAGTGAAGTTGCTTCTTTCTGAATATGGCTGAATATGTAAGGTTGGGTTGACTTCTTAAATTGCAGCTTCACATAAATGTTTAAAGAGATAACAATAAAATATGAAACATCCTTCCAGTATTTATCAATGGGAAATGGAACATATTCTATACCATAGTTCTTGTTTTAATCAAACTTTCAAGTACACCTAATTTTTTTTTATTTTTTATGTTCTACAGAAGAAGTGGGTACATCCACACATGCAAGCACCATGTGGCCGCAGGTCCAAGGGGGAGGATGCCATCACAGGTTGCAGCCCCCACTGCCAGATTGCAGCAGTGGGTAGAGGGTGCAGGAGCCACTCTAGGTTTGGGCTGCTTCAGGGGTAGTGTCCTCACATACCAACTGGTTGGGCCTCAGCTCAACTCCTGAGGGCAAGTAACCATGAGCAGTTCACCAGGACAGCTTTTTATACAGCTGGGGTAGGGCACTGACATATCAGTGCTGCTCAGTGCCCCACATCCTGGTAAGTGAAGGGGGAAGAGGCAGCTCTGATTTTTCTAAGACAAAAAAAACAAACATAAATGCCAAAGCGTATAGATATTTAGAATGCATTTTATTATGATGATAGAGACACTGGTAGGCTTCCAAACTGCTTTAAAATTGTAAATATATCAATAAAACATTGCCCAACTGATCCCTCTCTGTATTCTGTATAGTGGCATTCCATTTTAATTGTGGAAGAACACAGATTTGGGTATTTTAATGAGAGAATTGGGGGGGGGGTGTTAATCAGGGAATTTTCAAATTTTATACAGGGAACACTTGTCTCTACTAGTGAGACAAGTGGTGGGTCCTGGGCAAAGGAGCCTGGGCAGGAGACCCAGCTAGAGGGCAGATGTGGTGGTTGACCTTCTGGTCATTTGGGGACAGGAGGATTCACGTCAACAGTTCAGTGCAGGCCACTCCAAAGAGCACATCTTCTGGGCAAAAGCTGCCCAGATGGCAGAGCGGGGACACCAGAAGACATGACAGCAGTGCTACCTGAAAGCCAGCTCTGCAGCCACAGCCCACTGGCATCTGGCTCAGAAGTGCTGGCAGCTCTGCTGCAGTACTTGTACCACAGCCCAAGTGGCCACATGGTCCAGGTCTGGATCTGGCAAGTGTACATCCATGGCGCTGCAGGTCCAAGGGGGCAGATGCTGCCACAGGTGGCAGCAGCCCCCACTGCCAAACTGCTGCAGTGGGTACAGGGGCCACTCTAGGTTAGGGCTGCTTCAGCAGTACAGCTGGTACAAGGGTCTAGTGTCCCCATATACCAAGCGGCTGGGCCTCAGAAGCACCCCCCCCCCCCC